GGTGCAAAAGGGCAATGAAACAAGCATGCAATCACCAAGAAAAAGTGACCCCTTGATAGCTTTGCAGCCAGCATGTGTGCCGCCTCGCACAATATTCCTACATTGAAAGATGTTTTCAAGACCTAACAGTTCTCGGGCCCAAAAACAACAAAAAGGCATACTTCCACACTGTTTCACACGGTCACACAGGATGCCACACAGAACTATTGCACACATCATCGGATTTCGCACATTTTCGCCTGCAGAAGCAGCAACATCTTCAGGAATTCGCCCACTCCGACAGCTTGAAAACAACATACAGAATGGACACTTCAAAACAGCTGAACATCAGTGCACTTTTGCCTCCAGTTTTGAGCTGTTCCCATCACACGACCCCCTAGGCCAAAACCTGTCACCTAACCGGGCCTACCTTTAACCTGCCCTATTAGCCCGCCCAATTAGTGTCCCAGAGTCCAAGGAAGAAGAAGCTCATCGACGAGTACATGGCCCTCGCGCCGGCCAAGCGAGAGACCATGATCAAGGACGGCCCAGGGGCTGAGTTTACAGCTTCGAAATTTGCACTGAAACCTAGCATCTGGTGCCTTGCAACCTCCAGCCTTGGACATAGAGCTTGGAATTGGGGGCTTTTTGAACTGCGCTAGGGCTTCTGCCTGGGTTGATGCGTGTTCTTGCTTGTAACTATGGCACTGCTGGCTTCTGAAGGAGAAGGAGACGGAGATTGAGAAACTCGAGTCCGACTTCAAGACCTTCGTGGAAGGAGAGATTTCCGTCATGTGGGTTCAGAGGTGTTTGCGTCGTAGAGCTTCATGGGTCCCGCCTGCTCCGCTCAACAGCCACTCATATTAGGAGAAGCTGCCATTCTTTGCAGTACAAAGGGCTTCAATAATCAGAAATAGCAATCTACTTGCCATGATCTTACGTGAGAATAGAGCTTGGGGGTATTTCATAATATATACATATATATATATACATATCTATATATAACTGTAAGGATTATTATTGGTAATTATTCAAGCTGTTTCTATAACCCTGCTGTTCAGCTCTTCGACTCAGCTCTTCGACGGCATGCACAACAGCTTTACTCTGACATCCTCTGAAGCCTTTGGATTGCTTCAGTGCTTTGCTGGGGCCTCTTGGATTCCAACTCCAATCGTCACGCCTTCGGGTTCGGGTTTAAGAGTTTTGAGGTTTGCGGGTTTCGAGGTTAGATCTTACGGTTTGGCATGTAGGGTTTAGGCTTTGCGAGTTGTGGATTAAGAGGTTAAGGGGTTTCTAGTTCAGAGTGTCAGGTTCAGCGGGTGTCGGCTCGCGGCGGGGTTTCGGGGGCAGAGTGGGTCTCTGGCGGTTTCGACAGTCTCGCATGCCAGCACAGAAAACTGTATCAGGGGACTCCGGATATGATTACGGCTATCCACTATTGGGACCTGAAGTGAGCGAGCTGAAATTAACGAGCCTTCCTGCTTCGATAGCTCCGGGTTTGGTTTGGATTTCCTGGGCGTCTTTGGGTTTTAGGGTGTTAAGGGACCTGGCTTTAAATGGAACCCGTGGTTCGGGCTGAAGATGCGGAAGGCCTCCAGAAGCAGTACCAGGAGAGCAGCGACAAGAAGGACCTTCACCGGACAAGGGATCAGAAAGCCCTGAACCCGAAGTTGACGGTTTAGGAAGCCTGAAACTGAACCCCCCGTTCTTATCATCGGCGATGTCATAAACCCCAAACACTAAACCCTAAACCCTCTCCCACCTAGCCCGAAAAGCGAGCCTTGCTTTGCTCCCTGGTCGCGACGATGCACAGCGAGGTATTCAGGCTTCAAGCATCCTGTTTACTGGCACTTTTAGGTGGGTGGCCGGCCCTAGGAAGCCAAAGCCCTACAGCCTAAACCCTACACCCATGTGATGGTTGACTGATGTACGTGATCGGCTGAGAGATGTGCGTTTAGTCAAGGTGGGGTGTCAAATGGTCACCCTCTGCTCGCTCACATGGGCTTTTGGGAGGCAGTCTCCCCACCGAGAAGGAGCCCTTAAAAACAAAACCTACATCCAAGATTCGGGGGATGCAGGAAGCAGGGGTTGTATGTGGGCATTATCCTAACCGATACCTTTGTACGCCGCCCCTTCCACTCACATACTACCTTAGGTGCTGGAACGGGTCTTGCGAGCTTTGACAACAAATCAGTTCTTGCAAGTTTCCTTGGCCCTGAAAACATGGTTCAATCGTTAGCGGATTGAGGCGTCCATTCGGAAGTGCGGAATACTTCTTTAGGGCTCCTTTCGCGGATTCTTGGAGCCCTAGAGGCCCCTTTCAAGGAACTAGAGATCCCTTTAAAGGAGCCCTAGAGAGACCCCTACTTTAACGGGGCAGGGGGCGAAGCCCCACCCCAAAGAGCCTTCGAAGGACAAGGATGTCGAGGCCATTAAGAGCTCCGGGCTCGGGTTGCTCAAGTCCGTCCACTCCTACAGCATCCTGGCTATTTTTGTAGGTCTTCAGAGTGTAGGGTTAGGGTATGGGGATTGGGGTTTAGGTAGGTCTTCAGGGTGTAGAGTGTAGAGTTTAGGGTTGAGGGTTTAGGGTTCGGAGCTTAGGGCTTACGGCTTAGGGTTTGCTCTGGGTTTAGGGCTTGAGGCTCTTTGTTGCTTGGGGTCTGGAGCTTTTTGCTCTTTCTTGAGTTTGATGCTTCTTCGGAGTAGGGTGTTTGCAGGTATTTGGCGGGATTTCTTGTTTTAGAGTCTTTCCGGGTTTGTAGAGTTCAGGGTTTTTGGTTTAGGGTTCAGGGTTCAGAGTTTACGGGTTTGGGAAATCTTGCGTTCTGGGGTTTTGGTTTAGGGTGTAGTCTTTGTTTTTTTTTGGTTTCCGGTGTAGGGCTGGGGGTTTTAGGGCTTAGGTTCTCCCAAATAAAGAGGCTTCCCTTGTTCATGATTACGAGGTTCCTTACCGGGACCAGAGGTTATTTCAGAAGAAGCCCTGTATGAGTTTGTGTAGCTTCCTGCAGTCGTCTGCCGTCCGAGGCAAGAAGCAGAAGGGCGAGCTATAGATGCACGTCTGTGATGGGTCCTCAGGGCAGTAGAGCTTCTTGGTGATACCTCCCAGCTCGACATGTCTTCATCGGGAGTGTTGCGACGGGGACGGAAAGCTCAGGTATGAGTGTCGGATCTTCTTCGGCTTTATGCAGAAAGCGAAGCTGTATGGTTCCCATGCGTTGTATGTAAGTATGGGTGAATACACCATGAAGCTTAACTTCAATTGGATTGTCGATTGAAGTTCCGGCTGTTGGCTTCTAGTCTACGGTATTCAGGTTCCATGTACTTGAAAGATCCGGGAGGTATCTTGTCTAGTCCAGCACGCACAGCCCTTCCTTCTCCAGCGTCTGGCTTCACCAACAAAAAGCCACCAAGGAGCTACACTTTGCGGCAAAACCCCCCAAAGCCAGTTGGAGAAGGGCGCGTCCTTTCTATCATCTCTGTACTCCGGGAGTAGCGAGCGGTTGATGCCGAGTGCCACCTCATGGGTGGTCGTGGCTGAAAGCTGGCTCTCCCAGGAGCATGCCGATGGCAGAGCTGATGCATTTTTGTGGGCTGGGTTTCGATTTTCTATTGCTATCACCACAGCTTTTTGCGTGTTCATTGCACTTGGATGTTTTGACGAGCGAGCCCCCGAATGCCCAACTGTAGACGTTCCGACTCACAGGAAACCTCCTGCAAGCCACACTTGCATTTTGGAGAAACCGGCTGCATACGGCAGCTCAATATTCTCGTTCTGGCGAAAAGAGAGGTTTGTGTTGCGCTGAAGCCTTCCCATTCATAGTCTAAGAGTCAGGGCTTCGGCCCTTTTGCGATTGTTTAAGCCCTACGTCTACGTCCTGTAAACTTGATTGAAACCTTAGAGCCGACATGTTTCAAGAGCCCTACGTAACGTTTTTCGAAGAACTTAACCCCCCAGCCGGAAGGAGTCGAGGTTCCTTCAAGTGCGAATCCGAGGGCTGAAGCCTTAAACTCTAAACTTAACGTAATTCCGTCCAGGAAGGGATCCTTATCGTGCAAAGGTGCCAGGGCGACCTTCATGGAAGCATCTGGGAGTTTCTGAAAATGGGGGACCCTAATCTAGTACCCCAAATAGTAGGATCCTTATTATAAGGACCCGAAACTGAGTGCCCCACAGCTGAAGACAAAAATTCCAGATGTAAGGTTCAGTCGGGAATTGGCCCCAAGGCTTGAACCCTAAACCCTAAACCCCTAAACCCTAAGCCCCTAAACCCTAAAGCCTAAAGCCTAAACCCCTAAAGTTAAATGAGGCGTGGGACTGAGGTCGCACGGCTTGGGAGCTGGGATTCAGGGGTCTGCGGTCTCCGTACCAAAGCCTGGAAATGGCGACCGACGGCACTCACTGATAATGTAGGAACCTGATGAAGAAACCTTGGATCTTTATTAGGGTTCTTAACTTTCTTAACAAAAATCCTACTATTTTTCCCAGACCTGGAACGGCTACACAGTGAGCAAACATGATACTGGCTTGAGGGGTTGAGAACCCTCAACGGCGTCCTCATAAACCGGCTGCGCCAGCAATCCTAAACCGAAGGTATAAAAACCTTAGCCCCTTATGCTAAACCCTAAACCCTCAACTTCAAACCCTACCCTGAACCCAAACTCAACCGTTGACCGTCGCTCGGATGAGGTGCTGCCGGATTTGGAGATATGTTGTAGTATGCTGAGATAGAGCGGATGATGTTCTTGGCAATTGTTGAGACCCCTATATTCAGCCAGGAAGTGTGCGTTTAAAGAACGGCCTGGGATACCCTGGGTTTCAGGTATAAAGGGAGGCATTCCCCAAAGCCTTAGCTTCAAATACGCAGCCTGTCGCCTCGAACTCTCAACCTCCAAACCCTGACGCCCAAACCTGGCGGTACATCTTCAACCCTCCCCAAACCCTAAAGTCCAGAATCTACGCAAGGCTTATTCAAGCTTTGCACGCCGAAGTAAAATCTCTTCCCGTGCAGGCAGGCGGAGCCATGTCGGAGGAGGCCACTGAACCTTTTCTTTTGGGCTCAAACCAAACTTTCAGGGTTTCGGGTGACAGGATTATGGTCTGGGGTCTAGGGTTCAAGGTTCATATATACATATATATATATATATATATATATATATATATAGGTTTCAGGCTTGAAGGCAAGGTTTAGGCCTGACGTTTTTACATTTAAGGCCTTGAGGCTTGCATATCGGCATAGCGCTCCGTCCCGGTGGTTTGGCTACGAGCAGACTGGTTTGCGATGTGGTTTCGGGTTCAGGGCTTTGGGGGCTGGTCTTTTGGAGTTTCGGGAGAACGCTTCTAAATTTAGAGAGCCTGTAACCTTGGGTCTGCAGCATTAGCGCCTCAAACGACGCCCCAAACTCAACATGAGGGCAGTGCCCAAGTACCATCTTAGCACATGCGCAGTGCTGGTATCATAAGCCCAAGTACCTAATTCTCAGGTCCTTTGGACCCTCCCCCCCATCGTTGCAGGCTGACGTCCCCGAGTACAGAGTCCAGGTGAAGCCACGTTTTGAGCAGGTTTTCGTTTGGTTGAGGGTCTAGGGTTGAAAAGCATAAGGTTTAGTGTACAGTGATCGTAGCTACCTTCTGGAAATCCTTGCAGGAATCCACGCTTTAGGTTTAGGTTTGAGGGTTCTTGATCTTATCGACTTGGTTGCGGCTTTTGGTGTTTACGTGCTCAGGGTTCTCTCCGAGTGTTTTGGAAGAAGCGTTCAGGGACGCAGGAGCTATTAAGGCTTCAAATGCACAAGCATTAAACCCTAAACCCTGAACCCGCCTGAACCCTATACCCCGATCCCTCAGCCATGCAGCCGACGATTCAAGGCCTCAGGTTCCTCCGATTAGGCAGTTTCTCAGCTTATGCTATACTAGACACACACTGATAGTCAACTCCTTCTTGCAGGAGCAGACCTGTAGGATGCACCTCCTAGACATTGAGGCGTTTAGGGCCCTGAACCCTGCGCTGAAGCCAGGTGGATAGCTTCGAACCTGCACGTCGCGGACGTCATGCTTGGCTCCCCAGTCCTCAAGCCGACGCCACAAACTTTAGCACTCAGTCTCTGCCTCAGCCCTCAATTGCAATTTCTTTTGGGGCTGCTTTGTTTCCGATTACACCCCAAACCCTAAACCCTATTCCTTTCCTTACAAGGATCTTGCCCTGAACCTTACATCCCGAGCTGAAAACGCGCGACACCCCAAACCCTAAGCTTCAATACAGCGGCACGTCTCGATCTTTCTGAGCCCACTGGCTGTTCTAGAACGAAGCCGTGAACCCCAAGAGCTGACGATTTGATCTCTCAAAGCTGGTCGACAGAAACTCTAATCCACGATCTAAACTACATTGAGTCCTCGACCCTGAAGAATTCCTCCTGCAAGGTGATCTACGCAGCCTCCCTAAGCTACCCCTACAACACCCCTCAACCCTTACACCCTTTCGAGGTGATCTACACCCTCCTCATCCGACGGGGAAACGCACAGTGGCCTATTCGACGGCGATTCCGACAGGCGCCGCATTTAGCTCTCCTACCTTGGGTTATGGTAGGGAATGGAGCAATGGGGTTCAATTATAACTTGTACCGTATTACTACCATTCTTCAATTCCCTACTAACCAAAGGTAAGCTCTGAGGTCTCGCAGGGTTCGGGCTCCAGGCGTCGAGGCTTCGGGCTTTTTGGGGGCCGGAGGGTCTGGATTTTCAACGGGTTTGGGGTTCAGGGGTTTAGGGGTTCGGGGGTTCGGGCTTCTTGGGATTTGGGGTTTAGGATTTTTTTTGGGGCTTAGGGTCTGGATCTTTTGGGGGTTTGGGGTTCAAGGGTTTCAGGGGCTCCGGAGTGGCCCTCCCTTCTACGAGTTGTTGTTTTGGGCAAGTCTTGGGCGCAGCCTCGCAACAGTAACAGGGCTTTCAAGGCAAATCCGCTACTTAATCAGCCGAAGCCGATCCTGGATCCTGTCCTCGTCGTCATCTTTTCGACACACCTTTGGTCTTGTTTGTCTTTTTGTTGTAACCCAACTCACGACCTTACTCGGAAAATCTCTGCCAGTGTCCCGAGCAGGTCGTCAAGCTGCACGAGCAGCTTCTTCAAGGTTTTGGCAGGCTCGAAGAAAGAACTCGAAACCACAGCTCCGAGAGTTTGAAGCCCTAAATTCTGATTTTGTTGTCGAGTTTTAATTCAGGGTAGGCTTTGAGGTAGTGGCTTCTGGTTGGCATTGCACCGTCATTTAGGGCAGAATGGCGTCTCGGAGTTCGAGGCGACAGCGGCGCTGCTATTCCCTCCCTTGACCCAAAACCAGTAATAACAGTAATAACTGTAGTAATACTAACATAATACTAATAACAATACTAACCCTGAACCCTAAGCCTGAGGGTTGTGGGCTGTTCTTCTCGGTTTCTGGGATTTCTGGGTGCGCGAACCTGCGGGCGTGGGTTCTGGGACTGTAAAGGTCACGTGCTGCGAGCTTTTTGGGGCACTCTGAAGGGTGTCCTCACTTGGTAATAATACGAGTTCAGAGTCCCTCTGTAGGCATACTTTAATGTGCCCGTAAAGCCCTGTTCTAGTCATGCGGGCCCCGACAGAAAGCTATTGGAACCCCTTCTTCAGTGAACCTCTGGTCGCCTCCATGGAGGGCCTTCCAGCCCCAAGTAGGAAAGCAGGCGCTCAAATCCCGAAGCCCTAAGCCAGAGCCTTAAGCTTAGACCCTTTACAGCTATTCCCAACTCAAAAACCGAGGATACCCTGAACTAAAAGCCCTCAGAACTCTAAACCCAAAGCCCTCAACCCTCAAGCCCTACCCTTGACTCCTAAGCTCCAACGCCTTAAGTTGAGGTTTAGGGCCTGACGCCTTGTCAGGTCTTCCATGAAAGAGGGCCTGCCGAGACTACCGCCCAAACTGACATACAGGCTCGGCAAGCTGCGGTTTGGGGTGTTCAGGCGTTGGTGGATAACATGCAGGTTTTGGAGTTTGGGGCTTGATTTGGCTTGATTTGGGGGTCAAGACGAGAGCTGCAAGGCAGCAAGATATCTAGAAGTGCCACACGATTCGTGCATGGGACTATTTTGGAGTATACCTCAAAACCCTGTTCTGTTGCTCTTTGCACTTGCATTAGGCCTTGTCTTAGGAACTTCAAAACACTTGGATTTCGCAGGGTTGACGGTTTCACGGGCAAGACCGAGTTCAAACCTCGGAGCCTTAGCAGCCCGCATCTCTTTAGGGTTTACGGTTTAAGGTTCAAGCAATCTGCCTTGAATATCACCCAAGCAGGCAATATGGAGGTCTGAAAAAACTAGTAACAATATCGCCAAGTACTTCCGACAGTTTAATAGGACGCACAACCCCTTCAAACAGCTAAGAGCAAGGCGGCCCTTACCCCGAATCCGAAAAGTTGAGCAAACTCAATCCCGAGTGCGCTCTTTGAGCTCATCTCTGAAAATGCTAAAGAAGCGCCCCCTGTCTCAACCATCAGACATGACAACTCTCTACTTAGTTTCGATTCGATGGTGGGCGCTGGTCCCCGAAACCCTAAACCCTTAAATCCTAAACCCCTGAATCCTAAACCCTCGGTTTAGGGTGGATGGAGCTCTAGCAGGAACTACTCAACGTCTAAAACGCTTCTCATGGGTATCCCAATACCACTGCCCTCAAAGACAGGGGGCTTGTTCATCAGGGAGAGGGTCCAAGCACTCAAGAAGTAGGTGCCGAAGTATTTTCTGAGTATAACGCTTGAGACCAAAAAGTCCTGCTATATGGGAGTTTCCGAAAATTAGGGGTACCTTATTTGTGGGTCTTTAAAGTAAGGACCCTACTATTTAGGGTACTATATTAGGGCCCCCTATTATCGGAAACTCCCATATGATGCGAGATTTGCGCTTGCTTGAATGCAACCGAAGCGTCCCGAAGCTCTAGGCCCAAGCGTTACCAAAAACCAGTGTTTAGGAGTTGGAGCTTTGAAGGGTAAACATGTGGTCATACTTCACCAAGTGTATCATTACTGTAATCGAAGCCCAGGAAAAGTACCCGACGATTTGGAGTAAAGCCCTCTTGTGGTTGAGCAGAACTACTGCAGCTTTCGTAAGTTTCAGCACAAACGTATCGGGGTTCAGGGTCTTATCGGGTGCAGGGTCATGTATATGGTCTACAGGACTTTCGGGTGGTTGGGTGTCAGGAGATGGATATGTAGGGCGTGTGTGCGGGGGTTCGGGAGATTTTTGCTTTTAAGGTGGGACTTGGAGTTGCTCCAAGTTAGCAAATCTTCTTCCTTGTTATTTCTAGCTTCAGATTTTGTCATGGACCTTCGAAAACGGCGGTCCCACTTTAGAAACGACTTTCGGGGTCCATTGCGGCTACAGCTCGGCTGTGCAGGTCCATCTTCTGCGGACAGCAGGATCAGCGATTTCTGCAAGTGCGGGTCGGGAGCTTGGAAGCGGGTTTCGGTTTTAAGGTCTAGGCTGAAGCTCGACGACGAGGATTTCTATCGGGACTACTTTCAGGATTGAGTTGGGTTTAGGTTTAAGGATTTGGGTTTGCAGGTTCCCTAAGCCCTAAATCCTAAAAATCCTTAACCCTAAATCCTTAACCCTGCACCCGCAACGCTAAACCCTAAACCCTAAATCCTACGCCCCTTGAACGTGTAGAGCTGGGGGCTAGAGGCAATCTTTTGGGGGTTCTTGACTTCGATGGACTTCGGAGAAGCGCTGCCCTGAAGGGGTATTCGGGTTTAGGGGTTTAGGGTTTAGATGATTCGACTTGGGTTTTGAGGGTGTGCTGGCTCGGGTTTAGGTTCGTGTTTTGGTGAGAGCATGCAATCCTAAACCTTAAGCCCTGAACCCTAAACTTGCCGTCAAACCCTTGTGCGGGGTTGATTCTATCGTCAGCCCTAAACGCCGAATGCTGCCCTAAGCCCTCAAATTCCGAAGCAGCCGTTTGAACACATGAGACCCTGATATGCAAACCTTAGGCTGGATACTATGGGGGCCTAAATCATTGGTAGCTGGCGCATAGGGCACCACGCGGCTTCATGCGTTTTTAGTGTTTTCACTGCAGAACTGAGGGTGGGGGCGCAGGCCCAATAGCGTCCGGCCGTCGCATATCCTCTCGAGCGGGCAGTTGCGAGCCGCCATGGCACTTTCCTGTAACGATGATGATTATAAAACTGATCATTATGATGATGACTAACATGACGAATAAATGATGAGCATCCTAATGACGCTGAAATTTTGCTGTGAGACAATGATGACGGTCGTCATGATGATGAAGTAGCGATGATGATTATTTTTTGATCATTATGATGATGAGGAACATGGTGAAGCTAATGATAAAATACTAATGACGGTGAAAATGATGTTGTTAAAGACAGTGATGAGCATGATTAAGGGTATAATGATGCTGATGTTGCTGACAAAGACGATGATGATGCTGATGATGCTGCTGATGATATTGCTAATCGTAAAAATTGCAATGAGTTTCCGTGATGTCCTACAGATCCGTCTTTTGTAGAAATCTTGCTAACACCCCAGTCTCGCGCACTTCTAAGTACGAACGCAGCGTGGCGCCCTATGCGCCCGCACACAAATAATTACCAATAAGATTCCTAGGTTTCCTTGTTAGAGGTATAGTATAATATGCCCCAAAACCCGACTCTAATCATATAGGCCCCTATTACTTTGAGCCCCTCAGTCCTGTGCCTCGCATCTGACGGGACGCACCCAGGCCGTGCAGTTGCAAGAGTACTTCGAGGCAGCGGACATTTCGGAGCTTCTCTAATTTGCGGTTTCGGTTGTAGGATTAATTCTTTGAGTTACTGAGAAGCCTACAAATTTCCGTTTCAGTTTTAATTCTCCTGGTTTTCTTGACGATTTGGGAGGAGTCAGCCTGCTTGAGGGATACAGATCCTTTCTAGGTACGGTCTTAGGAAGAGGGTTGAGGGACAACCTCAAAACCACATTACAATCACCAAGGCCCCCACACCGCAACCCCCCGCCCCCAAAAAAAAGAATCGGAAGCTGCCCTACATACCAACCCTGTCTGTTACCTGCAAGCTGAGCCCTCAAACCCTGCTCTAAACCCGGAGCCCTTTAGTCAACCCCGGAAAGTTGGAACACGGATTAGGGATCAGTAGTGCTGGGTTCACTATACTGAATGTACATCACGGGCATGAAGATAATGATGTTCCAGTGTCTGGTTTCTATGAATCCCTGACCGTAAACTCCCTAAACCTCTTCATTAAGCCCTGAACTCACAAAGTCTTTAGTCTAAGCTCCAAACCTTGAACCCTACATGTCTAAGACCTCACGCCACAAGCGTGGCAGGCTCTTCTGCGGTATATTCCGTACGTGGACCAGTGCGAGGCACATATGACTTTTTTAGGCTTCAGGGTTCAGGGGTTTAGAGTTTGTTGGGTTGAGGGTTTAGGGGCTGTTGAATACAGTCTAAGCCTAAGCCCCGGCTATGCTCCGTCTCAACGTGGATCTCCTAAAGTTTTAAAGCCTACCCTGAAAACCCGAGCCGCTTTGGCGGATCCGTAATCGCAGTCTCTTTGGATGTCGCGCCTTCTCTCTCACGCAGAGTGAGGGTACACCCTACTTGGAGGTTCATGGGGCTTAGGAAGTACAGTTGTAAGTACCTTAACTGGGGTTATAAGCAATTATAAGTATACTTACCTTGTTTATAACCCCAGTTGCTAAGTCCCATGAACCTCCAAGTAAACCCTCACCCTCCACCCCGAAACCCCAGAAAAAAGCGGGGGTTCCCTGCCCCGCTGCTCCTGGGCCGGTCCCCTCCAAAAAAGGCGGCGGTCTCTGAAGGGCCCTCACTCCATTCAGCTTCCATATGGGAGTTTCCGAGAATAGGATCCTAATATAGTACCGTAAATAGTAGGATCCTTATTATGAGGATCGAATCACCAAGTAAGGTACCCCAATTTTCGGAAAGTCCCATATCGATCAAGTTGATGAGTTTCCGGCTTGCTTGCCGGGAGTGGCTGAACGCCCATTCCCCTGCAGCTTTTTTGTCCCTGACGTGGCTTTTAACTGCAGCTCCGGTAGCAGGGGCTTTAGTGATGGAAAGACCCTGAAGCTTCAGCTCTGGAGTTCGTGACCCCAAACGCGGGTAGGGGGGAGGCGGGTAGGGGGCCTTAAAAGGAAGTATAGTCCCCTACCCCCCTAAGGGTCTGTATGACAAACTGAAAACCCGAAGAGGAGACAAGCCGCGACAGACACTCCCCCCCGAACCGTCCTGTAGCTCGGGCTCCTCGCGTGTGCAGGCTCTTCGAGAATTCCTCTGCAGCGTGGATGTGAGCAACATGAGTCGGATGCTGAAATGCGGCCATAGGATTTAGGGATGTTGCATCGGTCTTAGGCATTCTGTCTAATCGGAGTTTATATCAACGAATGTAAGAACCCGTTGCATGAGCCCTCATGCCCTTGTGCCATGTACTAACCCATGTCTATGTCTGCGCCAGCCACTTGCCCAATTGCCCCATGCAGAATCATGCAATAATGTGGGTAAGCCCTCTGCGACCCGTGCAGAGCACCGCATAGAAAGGCTTTCGGATGTTCGAGAAGTTTATCCCAAAAGCAGCAGTGAAGGTTCCGGAGGGTTTGGCAGGTATCTATCCTGGATCCCGAACCCGATCCCCCAAGAACCCCAAATCTTAGGCTTAACCTAACCTGTAAACGAGGCACCACGCTTCGAAAGGAGGGTTTGTGGGTTCGTGTTTTTCAGGGAGCATAAGTTGCTCACATGTTTTCTTCTACTCTGACCTTGCAAGGTGTGGCTTTTACTGTCTCTAGGTTCCTGAGTAGTACCCTTTTGCCCTTTTCTTTGGGGCCCCCTGATTAAAACTCAATACTAAGAGAAAGGGTACCGTTAATATCTGGGGGTCACTCAGGAACCTAGGTCTTTCTGGGACGAAGGGATCGATGGAGGAGCGGCCCTAGCGCGGTTCGTATTCAATTATGGAGGATTTCCGAAAATTAGGGGTACCTTATTTAGGGGTCCTTATAATAAGGATCCTACTATTTAGGGTATGATATTAGGGTCCTCCTATTTTCGGAAACTCCCTTATGGAGGATTTCTTGACAAGCGGTCCATCGTTTAAGTCAGAGTCAGAGGTGTTTCTTTTCTGGCGTTCGCATTGCTGAGCAGTTGGCTAGACTTGCTGCTTGGGGCTTGTGCTTGAATGTATGTCAGTTTCTCATATGTCTGTCTGTTTCTACAGTCGTATACATATGCATATATTTTGATATGCTGTATGTGTTCGTGTATATATATATATATATATATATATCTATACATACATACGCATACGTATGTATGTAGGTCGGTATGTATGTACATACATCTATATATATATATATATATATATATATTCCACAGGTATATCCTTATGTATAGACCATATATACCATTTTTTGGGGAGGGGGGTTTCGGAAAGTTCGCAGTCTCTATGGGTGTATTTACAAATAGTCTTGTCCTGCAGCTCCGCTTTCGCAAGGTTATGATGCGCTCTTAGACTTGGAGCAGGCGCGTTGAGTTTAGGGTTTAGGGTTTAAAGCGTTAAAGGCTGGTTGCAGCATGAAGCTGCTGTTTCGCCAGATCGCGTTAGTAGCTGATGTTTCGGGTTGCGGAGTGTGGGGGTCTATTGTAAAGGGTTCAGGGGTGATCATGTGTGTATGATGGCAATTCTCTCACGGTAATGGTCAAGGTCGCAGAGTTTTTGGCGTCGTGAAGATGCGGAGCCAGACCTGGAAGTGGGAGTAAATAGGAAAAGACGGCCTTACAGACAACCTGCATTATAATCTGGAGCTCGGATGGACTTTCAATCCTTAACACCACTCTAAACCCTAAACCCCAAACCCTAAACCTCAAGCAACCAGTCTCCGAGTTCGAGCTCGTTTGAAGACCGAGTCGGTCTGTAGGGATTCAGGCCTCAGGGTTTAGGGTTTAGGGTTTTAGGGTTTAGGGTTTAGGGCCGGTTCGGAGTTTCTTACTCGGAGGTTCAGTGGTAGTTATAAGTAGGGTTATAAGTCCCCTAATTAGGGTTGTCAGTATAGATACCCTAGTTATTACCCTACTAATGACTACCCATGATCCTCCAAGTAGAGCTTGCTGCCTATGAAAGGATCCAAGCAAACCCAAGCTGAACATCCTCAGCCGAGCAGGGGTTGCAGAACTCATAAACTTTTGCAACCTGAACCGAACGCAACGAATCATTAATCCCGAAACCCAGCAGTCATCAACTTCTAGAGCCTTAAAGCTTAGATTCCACGGCTTTAGGCCCGAAGCCCCAAGTCCTCAAAGCCCTAAAGCCACTGAAACGGAGAAGCTCTGGCCGCAAGCAGAAAAGAAGACCAAATGCCAAGAGCCCTTTTGCCAAAAAGGCATCCGAAACCTTAACCCCTCAACCCCTGCACCCTGGAAAAACCAAACCTTAAAGCCCTAGACTCCAGCCCTAGAGCCCCTCAGCCCAATCCGCCAAACTCTAACACGCTAAACCCCAACCCCGAATCCCCAAAGCCCGGAAGCACGGAGCCCTAAACTGAAACCCAAAGGTTTAGGGTTGAGGGTTTAGGGAAAGAATCCCCAAAACATCCGTAGAAACTTATACAGTAAAAACCGAAACAAACCAACCAAACACCCATATCAAGAAGTCCCAGAAAGGCCCTTAGACCCACCAACCAAAATCTAGAAAGGCCCTAAACCCACCCCCTCCTCCAAAAGGAGAGAAGCCCTGAAGCTCTAAACCTTAAGCTCTGAAACCCTAAAGCCCTAAGCCACAAACATCCCTAAACCTTAGACCTAAAACCCTACACACTAACCCTAACCCTAAACTCTAAAACCCTACAGCCCTAAACCTAAAATCCCAAAACACTAACCCTAACCCTAACCCCCCCCCCCCCCCCCCCCCCACAAAAAAAAAAAAAGAAGGCGGTCTTGACCAGGCCCTCGGGCGCGGGAGCCCCGGGCGCCGCATCGACGCGGCGCTCATCGCCGCGCTGCCGAAGCGGAGCGACCGCCGGAGCGAGGCCGGGGCTGTGGACTTCGGGAGCCGGGATGCTTTAGGGTTGAGGGTTTAGGGTTGAGGGTTTAGGGTTGAGGGTTTAGGTTTCAGGGTTTAGGGTGGAGGGTTTAGGGTTGAGGGTTTAGGGCTTTAGGGTTGAGGGCCGGCCGCGAGCCCAGATCGGGCCATATTCGACCACTCTCCATAGGCCCCACCCATTGTGGTTTAGTGCGGGGGTGCGGGGCATCTCAGTGTTTGGGCGTGAGAATTCAATGTTTACAGCTGTAGAGATATAGGGTTTAGGGTTAGAAGGTAAGGGAAATAATTAGGGCCCCTATTGGGGAGCTTTTGGGGTTTAGGGTTGTAGGGTTGTAGGGTTTCGCGTTTAGTGTTTAGAGTTATAGAAATAGCTATTATGGTGTCTAGGGTTCATAAACTGCAATGCTAAAGGATTTTAGCATAAGTTAGCTCGGGCACTTGAATTTCAGCCTTCTTCAGCCAGCGGCTCAGACATCGACCCTTTAACGTTCAGACTTATAAGGGGTTTAGGCTTTAGGGTTTAGGGTTCAGGGTTTCGGAGTTATAGCTAATTATTTCAAAGCTTTTATACGGTTTCTACAAGGGTTCTACAAGGTATAAATGCTTTAACACGGGGTCGGCTATCTCAATGGCTGTAGCCATAAACCTTTAGGACCCCGGGTATAACCTACTCAGTTTTTGTTTGCAACGTTTGGGGCTTAAGATCTTGGGGCTGGCCTGTTTGTTCCAGGCGATTGGGATTTGGGGGTTTCAGCTTAGGCTCTGGCAAGGTTCTAGAATCTAGAAGGCTTTCGGGTTTTGGGATTTGGGTTCAGGTTTAAGATTTCAGGGCCGGATTTTTCGCTTTTGGGAGCGGCAGGAGGCTTTTACGAGTCTTGCGGGCTGTTAAATCCGGTTCCACAAGGGTTCTGGTGGTCTGATGAGGGGTTGTTCGCAGGGCTCTTAGGCCAGTTTTGCTATGTCCCTGCGCTCGTGTTGGAAGACACTTAAAGTTTGGCCCCAGGCCTGTGTGGTCTTGATTGATCTTGGGCAAATTCATTGTCAAAGTAACGTTTGCACAGTACTTCGATGGCAAAGAGCGCCGACTGGGTCAGTTTGGTTTATGGCCTTGTTCCAAGACTCTGGATTGGTAGTTGTTGATTTCTCGATTCCGAAGCATAGGTCAATACGACAGTAGTTTTAGGAAGCAATTCTGACCCAGTTGTCTGTAAAGTTCAACTGTCCACCCACGTCGTTGGGTTCCTCGAAATGCATGCCCAAGCGATAGTTGAGCCTTGAGCCTGGTACCTTACGTGTTGCGGACGTTTCAGGTTTAAGGTCTTGATTGAAGCTTTGGGTTCGAGATTCCCTGGACTTTTGAGTCTGGGTTGAAGAGTTTTGGAGACACCCCCCGATCAACAAGCCCCGGTTGCGACCGGAGAGAATGAGGGGAGAAGTTCGCATAGCAACTTCGTCGACCTGTGCTTCCTAGCTACTTTTCTTGTGCAACCTTCTTCGCTTCCCTAAGCCCTAAACTTAAACCCTGACCCCGAACCTCGATCAGAAACCCCTCAGCAGTTGAGTAGGTAGCTTTTTGTGGTTTTACGTACCAGCACGTAAAATCCGTTCCATGGAACCAAATCGGAACTTGTCCTAAAGGGCTTGAATTTGGGGTTGCTTTAAACTCTAAACCCGAAGCCCAAAGCCCAAGACCCTCTAAACCCCAAGCCCTAAACCCACCCTCTTAAGCCGACCAAGAAGGCGCCGACTCAGAACATCTGCGTCATCTGCCAGGCTCGAGACTCCGTTACTAGGATCGGAGGCCTCAAAAGGTGGGATGAAGGTAGGTGGGATATTCCCAAATAAGAGTCCTTGTATAAGGGATCCTTAATCCTACCTACCTTCATCCCACCTTTTGAGGCCTCCGATAGGAGGATCATGGGTAGCTGTGAGTAGGGCCCTTTTGAAAAGGGCGCCGTACTATTTCTGGGACCTAAACAGGGGCCGGACACAAATTTCTAGAACTACTCATAAGTAAGGTAGCTATATATCTCCACTTTTAAGTACCCAGGACCTCCAACTATAGTATTTACGAACACTGTTCCGCTGGGTTTCCCTTTTGAACTTGTAGTATAAACTACCCCACAACACGGTTCCACCAGTGCTAATAATAGTAGTTTGTCTTATTCTGATCATTTATATAGTTATGGTTAGTAATGTTGCTATTGTTTTCTTTTTTGTAGTATCAGGCATGCGTATTAGTATTGCCGTGTTGTTATGATTATTGCTACTGTTATACTAAGGCCACGATACTAGTAGAGCCTCAGGGCAGAGGGTCCTCGTTGTTCTCGGTTCATCATTTTCGGTTTGTGTATGAGGGCCCGTTAAGGGCTTCCTTCAAGGGATCTAGGAAATAAACGCTTTAAGCAATTCATGGTTTATGTGGACGGAAATTGATGTGCGACAAAGACTTTTATTGCTCAAGCTTGATACCGATCGAACGTTTTTCTTTCGTTGATCTGGACATATTTAAGAGTGTACGCTGCACTGCGGGAGGGCTCTGTCCTGAGATACCGTGTCGTAAAGCAGCAGGCAGAGCCCTAAGCATTTAACATCGAACCACAGACCCTAAACTAAAGCTTCAACGCGAAGCCCTCGGGGGGGTTACCTGGCTTACGGGGTCTGGGGTTGGGGTTTAACCCTAAACCCTATCCCTAAACCCTAAACCCTAAACCCTAACCCTAAACCCTAAACCCGAGCAAAATCCTAACCCCTTGAACTGAGGAGGCGATGTTGAAGAGCGAAGACATTCGGGTACTTCCATGTGGCCATGAGTGCTCCCCTCGTCCAGGGGTTAGGATTTTACTCTGGTTTAGGGTTTAGGATTTAGGGTTAGGGTTTAGGGTTTAGGGTTTACGTAGGATCTCAAATCGAAGGAGTTCAGGGGATCCGAATAGTGCCAGTCTGGAGGATCGTGACGGTTTTGGGGAGAGTTTGGGCTTTGAGAGCTCGAAGGGGCCACAGGATTGACTTTGGAAGCAATTTAGAACGTCGAATGCTCGTCCTCAAAGCCTCAGCCGTGAACTCAAGTCATAACTTCCCGAATCTTCAATGCTAAAGCTTTTCAAATTTAGACTGTAGACCTGAAATCCTTCGATGAATGGGCAAAGTGTATGAATCCTCACCTTCGTTCGCTAATCCAAACTCCCTAAGCCCTGAACTATGAGAGTCTGCAGAGTCGCGACCCTTATCCCCACCTCCCCGACCCTCATTCCCTAACCCCCGAAACCGGAAATCCCAAACCCTAAACCCTAAACCCTCCCTAAACCCCAAACCCCAAACCCCAAACCCTAAACCCGAAACCCCAAACCCTGCACCCCAAGCCCTGAACCGTAAATCCCAAACTCTAAACTCTGCACCCTTCAGCCTGACGCCCTACAGCCTCCAGGTACCACTACGAGTGTATCTCTCAGTGGATCCCGGAGCGCAATTCCTGCTGTGCACCGCTGGCTCGTGCAGGATTTTTTTGACGGTGTTTATGACTAACCTTTGATATTGGAGGAGCTGAGGAGCCAGGGATGATGATAATCCCTATTGAATAAGGAGCTAAAGAGCCAAGGGAACCCCAAAACCACTGGTTAGTCATGAGGACTCTATGATTATTATGGTGGTAAGTCTTAATGGAGAAAGAGTTGTGGGATGTAGAGGTTGTGCCGTGTTTGTTGATTAGAAGTTTTAGGTCCGGTGGGTTTGGGATTTTGTCGCTGCTGCTGTTGCTAAAGATTTTGCTACTGCCACTGCTGCTTTGAAGCTGCGACTACTGCTACTACGACCACGACCGCTACAACAACTCCAGCTGCTACCCTTAGTTCTATGACCATGGCAATCATCATAAGCCAACTCTGCTTACTTCCCTGGCAGCGAGATGGCCAGGTGTGCCACAGCGTGGCTGTCGAGACGCCGGAATCGGCAGACGAAGAAGAGGAGCCCGTTTGCAGGATCTTCGGGGCTTTTGAGATTTTGGGGCGGAGGGGGGCTTTGGAACTCAGAGCGTTATAGTAGGGGATAAAGGGTTTTAGGGTTTAGGGATCCAGTAGTTTGGGGTTCAAGGGCTTGGGGTTCCCAACGGGTGTTTAAGAAATCGGGCAAGGTTCACAGTTTGGCGCAACACAAAACCTTGTTTTTTTCAGAGTCCTCGGCGACAAAATTTGCCTGCAGTCTACGCTAAGAGCTGAGAACGACCACTGGCGAAACACATTCGCTTGTGCAGAGACAAACCACAACACCAAGGAGGCATGATTTCGTGTAACTAAAAAACGAAAGGGCCTCGTGGCCGCAGACACAGGGCCTCCAAGTACCTCGCACACAGTCCACAACTTCCGGCGGTCTCCACCTGGAGGTTCATGGGTAGTTATAAATAGGGTAATAAGTCCCCTAATATGAATTATAAGTATAGTTGCCCTACTTACAACCCCACTTATAACTACCCATGAACCTGCAAGCAGCCACCCCTGCAGTCTCGATGTGGAAGGACTGCTGACTTTCAAGCTCGCTCCGAAGACGAGTGGATTTCAATCTCAAGGTTTCCTGTCACCGGTCTTTACAGCCTAGCTTCAGTGGAGATCGTGTAGACTCGCAATGCAGCCCCTACCTTATTCGAAGGCTTTTGCGATTCATGCCCTCAACCCTGAACCCTAGCCCAAAGCCCTACGCCCTAAACCCTAAACCCCTAAACCCTAAACCCTAAACCCCTAAATCCTAAACCCTAAACCCCAAAGCCCAGGTAGATTCGAAGGCCCAGCCCGGGAGCTGCAAGCATCGGGAAGCTGAAACCCTGAACCCGAAGACGGAAGCATCAGAGCAGAAAGCAAAACAGTACAAATCATGACACAAAAAAGCCTGTAACCTCTGAACCCTCAACTCCTAAAGACCCTACATCCTAAACTTTCCTAAGCCCTCAAACCCTAAACCCCTAACAGCTCCTCAAACCCTAAACCCGACATGAAAGCCTAGACTACAGCTCCCACGCCCCGCGCCGACGCATCGGGAACCCTTAGCATCGGGTTGGGCAGAAAGATGCCCCGCCCGGAACCGGGGCTGCAGGAGTCGGGAGTTTCTCTTAAAGCAAAGTACCAGGAGAGGTTTTGGGGTTTGGGGTCTAGGGTGTGGGTGCAGGGGTTAAGGGTTTTAGGGTTTGAGGTTTGGGTTTTAGGGTTTATGGTGTGGGGTTTAGGCTGTAGAATAGAGGGGCTTTTGGGCCGCGTAAGAGGCTAGGGCTTCGGGCGTTGCAAGACTTTGTTTTAGTTCCCCAACCCCCCCTTTAGGCTTTTTGGGCTCTTATAGTTTGGTAGGAATCGGAAACTTTAACCTCTTCTTTCTGTGGTTTATTGGGGGAGTGAGTAGTGTTAGGGTTCAACGGGTTAAGGGGTGGAAGGGCTGCAGGGTGCCTGAAATCGAACTAGATTAAACAGTAAACCTTAGAAGGGTGGGGGCTGTAATAGTGGTATAATAGGAATACAATACCGCCCTAATATAATCCTTATAGTCACTATTAGAGGGTGGGGGCCCCTTCTAAAGTAAAACCGACACCGTGAGCCTTTGACCATAAACCTACACCGGTTGGTTTCATCGTTAACCTTCCCTGAAACCCGAAAACCCTAAAACCCTGAAGCCCTAAAAACCCCTAAACCCCCCAAAAACCCCCAGACAACTTGGAACAACGTCTAAAACTCCTAAATCCTAAATTCGTGACCCCTAGAACACCAAAGTGGTTTAGAGCCATAAACTCGGAACCCTGAAACCTAAACCCTAAACTCCTACACCACCAGAGCTTTTGGAACCAAAACACTCGAAACTCTGGGTTTACGCAGAAAATCCGAAGACCGATTTGAAAGGTTGAGGGTTTTAGGGCTTTCGGGATGTAGTGCTTTAGGGGTTTAGGCAGAGTTTAGGATTTTGAAGGCTTCTGGATGGAGTCTGAAACGGGTGGTTTATGGTAGATTTCAGGTGCTTTAGGGGGGTTTGAACAGATTCTGTTCATGGGAGTCTCAATCGTCTCCTATGGTTGGGCTTCATTGTCGATTTTGTCTCTATCTGTCGGCTTTCAATCGAAACTCCCTCTTCCGCCGGAATGAAGAGATGCCGCGGTGCTTCGGCTCGCAGTCTCTATGCCTGTTGGCTTGAACAAGGGGCTTAGGGTTCTAGGGTTTTTCAGGGTTTTGGGTTTTTTGGGGGGTTTTAGGGTTTGGGAAAGGGCTTCAAGTCAAGATGACACTGCTTCGGGGTTTAGAATGTAGAATAATGTAGACAGAGACTAAGATGTGTTCTTGTGGGCAGAGGTTTGGGGGTGTCAAACTCGTGCATCCAAACCTCCCTAGGCCCTAGAGCCTGATTTCCGACATAGAAATCGGAATATTAATTGCTAACTCCCTATATAGTCCCTACAGAATCATAGTGTAGTATACCCAACACCCTACCCTACTACAGATTGTTGATGAAGGGCCCCATATCACCCCAAGCCCTAAACCCTAAACTGAACTTTTGAATGCTCAGCTTGAGACTTTTTTCGGCCATCCTGTGTTCAGGTGCAACCTGTTTAGCATAGGAGCCATAAGTGAATCGAATAGGGTTTTGGAGCATTTTATACTGTAACAAAAACGAACGCTCAGAAATACTATGTTGTCGGCAACTATTCCGGCTTCTACATCAGTTACTTCGTTCTTTCCGGATGCTCAGGCGCCTTCTTTGTCAGCTTCATTTCGGATCCTCACCTGCCTCAGTCTAAGGTTTAGGATGGAAGGTTTGGAGTTCAGGGTTAGCTAAGCATTGGTTTTGGGGTTCCCTTGGCTCTTTAGCTCCTTATTCAAGTATTCAATAGGGATTATCATCATCCCTGGCTCCTTAGCTCCTCCAATATCAAAGGTTCGTTAGGGTCTAGCAGTACCTGAAAACCAGACCCGAAACGCGCTGCTGCTTAGCTTCGCTCCGGCGACGGCAGAGTTACGCCGCCCCGCCTCAGAGCCGTGGGTTTTTTGACGGTGGATGGGGCAACATCTAAGCCCCAAACCCCAAACCCTGAACCCTAATCCCTAAACCCAAAATCCAAAACCCCTAAACCCCTAATCCCCTAAACCCCAAACCCTGAACCCCAAACCCTAACCCTGAACCCCAAACCCTGAACCCTAAATCCGGCAGCACATCCCCAAAACAGCCCGCCGCCAGCTAAAGCTGAACGTCGAAAGACAGGAGCCAAATCCAGGGGGGGGTCTCTTTGGAGGCTCAGGGGTAGTCATAAGTGGGGCTATAAGGGGTTTAAGGTTCCTTTAAGGGTTCCTTTAAAGGGTTCTATAGGGAATTAGGGTTTAGGGTAGTTATAAGTGGGGTTGCAAGTCCCCTAATTAGGGTTATAAGTATAGTTGCCCTAGCTATAACCCTACTTATAACTACCCAGGAACCTCCAAGTAGGGCCGAACCTGATAACCCCAGACCTCAACTCCCGAACCCCAGACCTCAACTCCCGACCCCGAATCGCATATCGTTCAGGCCTTACGATCCTACACCCGCAAGCACTAAACCCTTAATACTAAATACGAGTTTTGAACTGGATAACCCAACCCAGCGGATGCCATGTAGCAACAGCATTCAGTACTGGACCGCAGGACCTTCCTCGAATCATGAAGGAAGGCCCCTGTGCTAAACGCTAAGCCTTTGAAGCTGCGGAGAAGTGCTGGACCCTAAACCCTAAACCCTTAAACCCTAAACCCCTAAACCCCAAACCCTAAACCCCTAAACCCCTAAACCCTCAACCCTAAACCGCTGGCCCCATCCGTCAGTAGTCTAGGGCGATCGGCGCAACGCGTGGATACTGGACCGGCGAGATTCCGGCTTCGACTTTTAGGGTTCTCGGTGTACATGTAAAAACCTCGGGTTTGCTAGAAGGCTGTGGACCTAAGGTTTTAGCGCAAGCTTTGGGTAAGGTTTGGGGTTTCAGGTTCAGGGTTCAAGGTTCAGGGTTCATGGTTGAGGGTTCATTCAGGTTTGGGTCCAGGGTTAAGGGTTCAGAGTTCTGGGTTCACGCCTGGGGCTTCAGGGTCGAGGACTCAGCGATTCGCGATGTATGGAGCTGTTCGCAGTGCCTGAGATTCTGTTCTTCTTGTGGTATTGGGAAACAGGGATCCCCAAGCTAGCCTCCGAATAGTACAAATGGAAAAATGGAACCCCCCCCCCAAACTGCAGGAACCCGTCATGTACCATGAGGGGCCTAGGCTGGAATGTATTTGCGCTTAAGACCTTGTACGTCACGGGTTTTTCTGGCATGAAGGCGCCGGTGGAGTTCCCACGCCATGTTCCCGACAGAAGATTTTTATGGGGTAGAGCTGAGTGCTGGCATTGTGCACTTGCCACAATATGGTTCTCGCCATGTTCTCCCGGAGCTATAATCTAAGCCCGTTTCAACGGCTTCAAGCAGTTCCCTTGCCTTCACTCGTTTGCATCTTCCAGTTGCATCCAAGTGCTGTGAATCACTTGGTCGGAATTCATCTGCCCTGCTCTTGAAGAGGAGCAGACGGGACAGTGTTTGCAGTAGACTCGGAAGCACGGTACCCTAACCCTTGAACTCCAAACCCTAAACCTTAAGCTCCACCCTTGCGCATGAACCAGCCAGCCAGTTCTATGGCAACCCCACGGAACGGCTCAACTACTTGAAACGCCAATTCCCTGCAGGCCCTGGCCCTAAAAAAAAAAAGAAATGGGGATCGCAAGACTTAGTAACGCGATTTTGACTTTCTAGCCATACAGCACAGCATAATGTACCCCAGAATCGTCTTCTAAACATTAAGGCCCATGAGGAAGCCATGAGCCGAAACTTGAAGCCGTCAAAACTTGGTTCGAACGCGAAACCCTATGACCCTTAAGCCCGAAGCCTAGTTTAGAGACCTGAATTACCCAGAGTATCGTTTCGGGGGTATATCGAAGCAGACAATAAACAGGGCTTGGGGTATAACAGAGTCGGAAGATGATAGTAGCCCTCATGAAGAATATTGGTAATCAATCCGGCTTCTATACTGTTACTACGCCCTATGCCCTACATGAACCCCAGCCCACGCCTGCCACCCCTTGCAGTGGATACTTCAGGAATGGTAGGACAGCTCTGATTCAACCGAGCCCCAAGCTCCAGTCCAGCGGAAGGAAGAAGCGCAAAGCTAACATTTACAAGCCCGAGTCTAGAGCTCGCATCCTAGCCTAAACTTGAAGCACCCTCAGCCCCAATTCCCAACGCCCTAAAGCCTAAATCGCACATACTGTCAATGGGAAGACTGGGGCCATACTGATGGCCCCCGTCACCTTGCCGTCCAGCGATGATGGCACGCCTGCGGAGAGAGTTTGGGGATCTGACCCTCGGCATTGAGATCTCCGTATTGGGAGGCTGGACAGTTGAAATAGGATTCCCTTATCTTCGTTATGTACCTATGCTAGAATCTACCCTCCCTAAATCCTAAACCCTAAACCCTAAAGCCCCTAAACTAAACCCTAGTCCAAACAGGCTCTTTGTCTTTCCTTCGAACCTGGAAAGTGGCCCCAGGAGGCTGACAGGAAAAATCCCTCGCGAGATGGGTAGTGCTGTAGGCGTTGTGGTATCCCCATGTGGGAGTTTCCGAAAATTAGGGGGGAGCCTTATTCTGGGGTCCTCATAATCAGGATCCTATTATTTAGGGTACTTTGTTAGGGTCCCCCATTTTCGGAAACCCCCATGTAGTAAGCCCTGTTTCACTCAGTAAGGCCAATAGTAAAGCATCCGAGTATATAGGAACTCGAGAGATTAGGGCTCGAGGGTTGTAGGGCTTTTGGATTTCGGGCGTCATGTAGTCTTCGGAATCCGGCGGAGGACCTTACCCGCAAGTCCTGGAGCCCAAAATCATAACCCTAAACCCTCAACCGAGCCCAAGCCCTGAACCCATAGATCTCCGCAGAACCCTTACAGAACGAGCTGATACAGCCAAAGAGGTGCGATCCCCAAGGTGCGGCAGATTTCAACCTCCACGCCGCGGCACTCCGAGCCTAAACCATAAACCCTAAACCTGACCCCTAGGTTCAGCGTCCAGGGTTCAGGGTCTAGGGCCCCCGCACCCTAAAGAGCGAAAATGAGTCGGGGGTGTTGAAGCCCTCAACCCCAAAGCCTTTGACGGAACCCTTCAAGGAAGCATTAATCGGAAGAAGCTGCGTATCCGAGTTTGAGGCCTTCCCACAGCTTGGTGGGGAAGGTGCCATGAAAGCGGAGACTTTGAAAAAGGCTTGAAGCTTGAGATTTCTGAGCCCCGAACTCAAGGCATTGCTAACCTGCAAGCCGTAGAAAGGGCATTCTTTCCTATGCACCAGGGTTTACGGCTTAGAGAAATGGAGCTCGCAGGCCTTCGGGCTCAAGCTTTGTCGGTGCCATGACAGAGTTGCAGGGTTGCTTGGCTTTCGCCTGAGCTTCAAACCACGTACATCCAGGGCCTAATGGGGATTCTTTTTTAACTCCCGTAGGTTTAGGGTTAAGTTTAGTCTAGGGTTTAGGGATTCGGGTCCTTGCTTACATCTTCCACGGCCAGCTGCATGACCAGATCCGAAGCTACAGAGCCGTTGGCCACCAAACTACAAACCTTGTAACCGAACCCCTAAATCCTAAACCCACAACCTACTTCGAATCTCAATCGCAAACCCCTAAACCCCAAACCTGGGGTTTAGGCTAGAAAGCAAGGATCAGGATCCAGGCCAAAGCAATCTCCGAAAAGCCTTGAGACTTACGATTCCTCTCGTTGTCGCTGCTGGGTTAACCCAGAGAGCCCAAAATACCCCTTAATTAAGGAATATAGCCTAAATCATAATATGAATCCACCTCAGGATTGAAGGTACGCTATTCCTTAACTAAGGGGTATAGCCTAAATCATAATATGAAGCCCCTAATGATTCGGACCCAGAGTAGCCCCTTACTCCCTTTTCTAGGGCTTAGAAAAGGGCACCCTTTTTGTTTTCCTAGGTTACTCGTGGGTCCAGATGATGTAAGGTATATTCTTTAACTATGGGGTATTGAAGAAATCAGGATACACTCAAGGGTCCCGCCCGTTATTGTTGCGCATGAAGTAAGTGGGTTTACTATCCAGGAGTTTACATGAAATCTTCCAACCCAAAGCCCTGCACCCCGGGTATTGGGCTCTCTGGGTTTGTGGGCATGGCGCTGGCTCCCGGATCTTCGAGGCGGACCCCCCCGGCTGTTTTGAGAGCACTCTATTGGGGCCCCGGTAGGGTTGAGGGTTTAGGATTGGGGTTCAGGGTTTTGGGTTTAGGGTTAGGGTTTTGGGTTAGGGTTTAGGTTTAGTAAGTTAGGGTCTAGGGTTAGGGGTTAGGGTTTAGGCTTAGGGTTTTGGGGATATATTCTACTATGCCTATATTATAGGCCATGCAATGCGTAACCCTTGATAGAATAAGGACCCCAAGCTCAATGTAACCGCTGCTCGAATCCGCAACGGCCGAGTTGCCCTGGCCCCTGTACCTCTAACGCTAGACCCCTATCCTGGGCTTTGGAGTACCATACTTTAATACTTTTTTCTTAAAGAAACCATTATGAAATGAAAGTTTATGCTTTTTCTCCCTGGTTACTAAAAAGCCCAGTATCCCAAACCGTATCGACCTCTGAAACCCCCTTAAAGACCCCCGAAGTAGCGGCCAGAGACTGCCGAAACGATGAGGGGGGTGCGGGGAAGAGCAAGCACCCTGAAAACCTGGTTACTTTTAGGGTCCATTTCTTGGAGTGGTGGAGGGGTTCCGATTGAACCTCAATTTTTTCACAGCATTTCACTCGTCCCTGGCCCCGTTCATGCCGGGCAACCTTGGCTGAACCCTGAAACCCAAAGCGCGAAATCCTCAAGCCCCTAAACCCTGAACCCCTCCACGCAAACCCTTACTGCAACCCGAAACCCTTGTCCCTGGCCCCGAAACGCCAAAACCCAAGACCTTGATTTCTGGCCGAAGGGGTGTGTTGGTTTCTTCGTAGGGTACTTGGAGGTTCATGGGTAGTTATAAGTAGGGTCAAAAGTCTAATATGAGTTATAAGTATAGTACCCTACTTATAACTACCCATGAACCTCCAAGTAACTCACATACGAACGTAGGGGCCTGAAGCACCAGAAATCGTAAGTTTCATATGGGTGGTTGTCAAAATTAGGGCCCCTTTTTGGGTCCCAATTAGGGACCATAATTTTGACAACTACCCATGTATGCTTGGCAGAGACCTGTCTTGGGGCATAGTACCTTATACTATAAATTCTGAACCGAACACGAAATCTGAACCCCGGAGCCCTAAGCTCTAAACCCCCCAAACGAAGCCCAAACCTCTGAAATCGCGAACCCAAACCCCTAGAGCCTTTAATTCCGCATAGATCTCCGCAGAACCGTTGTAGAACGAACTGATACAGCCAAGGAGGTGCCATCCCCAGGATGTTGCAGATTTCAAAACCTCCTCGCCGGGGCACTCCGATCCACACCCTATACCCAACCCTTACATTCGGTTTTAGGATTTAAGAAAACAACCCTAAACCCTAAACCGTAAACCCTAAACCCTGAACCCTGCACCCTAAATCCTAAACCCTACCCTAAACCCTAAACCCTGCCCTAAACCCTAAACTCAAAGCCAAGAAGCCTTCTCGTCGTCCTTCGGGCTGAGGCGGCCATCCGCAGCTTCACGAACCCCCCGCCGCAGTGAGCCACGCCTGGGTTCGGGCTCCAGCACACTTCTTGGGGTTATTGGTTTCTTGTTCAGGAATTTAAAAATTTAAGCTACCATATGAAGGTAAACATGAAAGAAACTACGGGGGGGAGGGGCCGTATAGATCCCTACTATGGTGGCTTCAAGTAGTATCTTTAACCAGAGCCTCGGCTGGTGTGTAGAGGTTTAGGGCTTTTTTGAGGTTCGGGCTGCGGGGATCCAGGCACTAAAGCATTGAAGTGTGCGCGAAAAGGTCCAGTACCATGTTTTCATACGTCAGGGCTCTTGAGGTTTGCAGTAAGTAGATATGCACGGTTGTGTGTGATTGTGTGTGTGTGTGTGTGTAGTCTGTAGCGCGTCCCTATCCCCGGTCCCTGTTTGCTTTTCGGATATCCTCCTTACGAGTCATCGAATTGAGGCGCTTGAGGTTCAAGCATCTTCGTCTCGCAAGCATAGAAAGGGCGTGGCGCTAAATCTTGCGGCCGCAACATGTTGAACATGACGGATTACCTGGATTGATTTCCGGAAGCCTTCACCCTTCGCGTGATGCCTACTTGGAGGTTCATGGGTAGTTATAAGTGGGGTTATAAGTCGGATAACTATACTTATAACTCATACTAGGGCGCTTCTGCAAGGCTCCAGAGCCGAGGCCCCTACAGCCCGGACCCTAAACCTGAGAACCTGCGCGAAAAAGATCATCCATAGTAGAAGCCAGAAAGTTGAAACATTAGTCTCCTCATGCCCTTAAGGTGAAGCACAGGGGATTCTAGCACTAATCCTCCTAAATCCATGTTCCCACTTTCTGGGATTTGCTTCCCTAAACCTAGAACTCTCACACCGAGACGAGATCCTCTGGCTTCCCAGGCTCGGGCCCTAAATCCTAAACCCTAAACCCTAAACCTTAAACCCTAAACCCTAAACCCTAAACCCTAAACCGAAGCAGCTCACCAGCAAAGCTCAAAAACCTGAGCCCGGATCGACCCAAACCCCTACCTATAGTCTCCATTGTACCAGGGCTACTGGGCTCCTGTTACTATGAGTTTAGGGTTTAGGGTTTAGGGTTAAGGGTTTACCTATAGTCTCCATTGTAGTTCCTTTTTTGGTTAACCAATTTTTTTTGGTTAGGATCCCATAATAGAGTTTTTGGTTAGCCAGAAAAAGGAACTACAATGGAGACTACAGGTACGAGCCCGATACCCAAACCCGAAACCTATTTGCATGCTTTGTTGACTTTTGTAAGCAGGGTTCGGCAATATTATAATGCTTTACTATATTAGTTATAGTGTACGATATGGTATTATCATGTTGTATTGGATTACGTTGTAGTATGTTTCAATATACTATATGATGTTATACTATATTATATTATATCTTACCATATCATACCATATCGTATCATATCATATCGTGGTCTATTCTATTCTCCTCTACTAATATAATCATATTGCGTTGTATTACTCTACATTTGCAAGGTGACTGGCCTGGGGTTCACGTCGCTCATGGCGACGAGAACTGGACATTGGGCCTCCAGGCATGACCGTGGAACTACATGACCTAGGCATTAGGGCCATCAGACGGATTCCCACAAGTTTTTGAACTAGCCATATCCGGAGGCAGTGTAGGATGTGCTTTCGTTGCATGGTCTGGGTATCTTAAATTCTTGCCCTTTGGCTAGTGATCCGCACGCATGCTGCTGTTCCAATTTCTTGCCAAGCACACCTAGCCAGCCCAAAACCCTAAGCCCTTTTCTTGTGAAGAGGGCCTTAAAGACACATGGCTTTTTTTCTAAACCCTCTTCCCTCCTTGACGAAGCTATGGGCTCAGAGACTCAGCCTATAGGCCCAGCCCGTCTCGACCCAGTGGCCGAAGCACAGACTCAATGATGCTTGTCTGGGAGCTCTTCGGGGCTTTCTGCGCTGTGCAGCTTCTGGGCTACTGTTCAGGAACGTAGTTTACGCGCATCTAGAATCTAGAATCTAGAGTGAATGCATTGCAGATAATCTGGGTTCCTTGTCGTGGCAACTTGAAAGAATATCCCAAACCCTGAACCCTACACTCTATAGCAGGCCTTATAATCATTCTTAAATGAACCCTTAAACGGAACCCCTTCTTAAACCCCTCAAACCAGAGCGGAGGCTTTCCGTGGCCTGCCCCTTCGGAGGTGAGGGTCCCTTGCCTGAAGGGCACCCGCCTTTGGAGGGCCGCCGTTTGAGCACCTACCCGGGCGACTGGGCTCCTGTTACTATGAGGGTTGAGGGGTGAGGGTTGAGGGTTTAGGGTTGAGGGTTTAAGGGTTAAGGGTTTAGGGTTTAGGGTTGAGGGTTTAGGGTTCAGGGTTATATGAGGGTTTAGGAGTGAGGGCTTAGGGTTTAGGGTCTAGCGGTTTAGGGTTTGGAGTTACCAAAGCCTAAGTCCAGTTGACCAATAATTTGCTGTAGATTATGGTGGCTTAAGTTAAGTTCCTAAGCCATGAACCCTTGTAGAGCTCTTGGAGGAACGCTGAGCTGTGGCAAGTTAAACGAAACTCCTTAAGACGAACCCTGATCCTCGGTAGAAGCTCGCAAAACCTGCACCCTAAACTCTCAAACCTGAGTTACTTAGAGCTTCGTCACGGGTTACTATGAGGGCTGCCATGTAATGTGTTTAGCAACACCCTGAACCCCAAGGCTATCTTGTGGACGACTCCTAAACCCTAGACCCTGAACCCTGAAAACCCTCGACCCTAAACCCTAAGACCCGAAAAACCCTAAACCCCTCAACCCAAAACCCTAAAACCCTACAGCCCTAAACCCTAAACCCGGAACCCGAAGGCTATCTCGTGGACGACTACGCCGACAATCGTGGCAGCCTCTCCAGCTCTGGTCCCGGTTCTCCGAGCCCGTGGCCGACGAACCCCAGCTGGAACCCCTTCCTTGACACGCTGCTGGGCTCTTCTTCGGGGTTCTTAGGGTTTAGGGTTTAGGGTTCAGGGTTCAGGGTTCAGGGTTTAGGGTTTAGGGTTCAGGGTTCAGGGTTTAGGGTTTAGGGTTGAGGGTTTGTGGGCTTCTATAAAAAATCAGGGTTCCTCTTAAGGTTTTTCATGTAAGCTACCACAGTTTAGTTTAAAGTTGCCATGATAGGGATCTCTAGTATCTAGTATGGTCTCCCCATTATAGTAACTTCACATAAACTTTAAATGCCTCAGCACGAACCCAGGCTGGTGCAGAAGTCTGCCGACATGGGCGATGCAGATCTCTGCTACTGGTCATGGCAGACACTGCCGGGGCCTGGGATGAGAGAGGCCGTGCCGTCTGTAAGCTTCTGGGTTCCTTTTAATTAGGAACTTCGTTATAAGTTTTTTTTCTTTATGGGATGTCCCTATCCTCATTTTTGCTTATGTGCTTTTTGGGGCCCTATTTCATGAATGTAGTGTGCTGGGGCGGTACTTAGGGCTCCTTTAAGAGTTGTATATTTGCTATAAGGGTTGCTGCGCGCTTAGGGTTTATGGTTAAACAAGCAATATAGCTAATTAGTTTAAGTTTGAGTTACCATAATAAGGAAAACATATTGTTGCCACAGATCCCGATAATGATAGCTTAATTTAAGTTCCCTAGCAAGAACCCAGGCTTGGAGGACGTGAACCTGTGGTTTCAAAACACGAATGGCGAGGCGGCCAACTTTGGGGACATGGCGGTGAAGAGGATGCAGAGCTACTCAGTAGCTGAGTGGGTACACGGTTTAGGGATTTAGGGTTTAGGGTTTAGGGCTTCGCACTTTTGGAATCATATTGTCTCGTAAAGATCTGAAAGTGTACACTCTTGGGGACTTCTGAACTCGGCAACTCAGAATATGTGAATGCGGATGGACCTGTCATGTGGACGGGCTGCTCGCTCGGATCTACACTTCGCAAGGCTGGATTCTTGTTAAGAAACTTCATGTATGTTACCGTGACAAGGAAGCCGTATTATTTACTATAGACCCCTATTAGGGTAACTTAAGTTAAGTTTCTGAACAACGAACCTGCAAGGCGATGTGTGACAACAACATGTCTGCGAGCACCGTGAACGGAGGGCGCATGGAAGATTGTGCGCTCGATGCGGTGTACAACCAGACGCTTATGACGCCGACCGCCATTCTGATCTTGAAGTTCCGTAGCTCCACTGTGGAGCAGTTGAAAAACATCGTGCATCTTTGGCGCACGGATAAAACTGGGCCAACGTCGCATGGGCCTCAGATGATGTCTAGCCTGGTCCTCGAGAAGGGATGGGGCTCGGGCGGGCAGATCATCTCCAAGACCGTACCATGCTCCCAGATCCCTGAGAAGTTCAAGTACCAGAATCTGGGCGACTGTGAGCAGATGGGCGACAATGGTGTCCTACTTGCTGCTGGGTTCTTGTTAAGGAACTTCATGTCAGTTACCACTAAAGCGATCTATAGTAGATAATGTGGTTTCCCTTAATTTTGGCAGCTCAAACTAAGTTCCTTAACCCTAAACTCCATAGCAGCCCTGGAAGTAACCCTCTCAGAACCCCTAAAGGAACCCTAAACTCTATATACCCTATACGGTTGATGATATAAATCCTGCATTACACATAATAAGGAATATACCATAATTCCCATAGTTTAGGGTCCTTAAGGTAGTGCAGGATTCATATCATCAACCGTAGTACCCCAAAAAAGGAACCCTATACAACGAAGCCACGAGCTGAGGCTGACGAAGCCTTCCAAGTCTGGAGCAGCCTCTAAGTTCTGAAGTACCAGACTTTCGTTTCGGTTTAGGCTTGAGGGTTTAAGGTTTAGGGGTTGAGGGTTTCAGGGTTCAGGGCCTTAGGGTTTAGGGTTTGGGGTTAGGGGTTGAGGGTTTAGGGGTTAAGGGTTTAGGGTTTAGGGGTTAAGGGTTTTTGGTTTAGGATCATTAATGTGGGGGGACCTGTTCCTTAAAGGAACCAACTTAGACGAGTGCTTTGGGGTATCCACATTAGGGGGGACCTGTCCCTTAAAGGAACCAAATTAGAAGAGTTTTTTGGGTATCAAAATTAGAAGAGGATTTTGCAGCGTATGATACGTTACTTTCTCACAGGAAACCCATGGTGAAATAGGAGCTCATACTTGATTCTCCTTGGTTAGTTCAAAGCCCAGGCCTGTGCAGCATCACCAAGGACAACTGCCCAGGAGTCACATCGACCTCGTCAGAGGCCCCAGGGATATTTAGTGTTTTAGGGAGTTGGGTTCGGGCTTAGTATGCAGGATTTAGGGTTTAGGGTTTTAGGGCTTTTGGTTTAGAGATTTTGGGGTTCAGCTAGAGGGTTTCATAAAAACCCTCAGGGGGGTTTAGGGTTTTTGGGATTTTGGTTGAGAGCTCCGGGTTTAGGGTTTTGGGTGTATTCGACCTCCTGAGACAGGCTTCGGGCACTTCGTCTTCACATCCCATGGCGGTGGGCGCCGCCCTCCTCTTCGGCGTCTTCTTGTCGGCGATTTGAAGACGGGTCGGGCATCCCTAATTTACTGAGCTTTGGAGTACCATGCTGTAATACTTTTTTCTGAAAGGAACCAGTATGAAATGCAAGTTTATACTTTTTTCTCCTTGGTTACTTAAAAGCCCAGTTTAGTTGACTTTGCAATTTTTGAATGCCGGGCACCGAAGCCGCCAGAGCCTCCAATTTCGAACCCCGACATGCTGCAAGGAAAGTCCCGAGAGGATCCCTGGAAGCCTGAACCCGAACACCTCAACCTTCAGAAGCTTTCAATGCTACACTAAAGCCCCAAAAAGCAACCCTAGGCACTATAAGCCCTACACTCCACAGCAAGTTTGAGCCCGAACACTTCTGGAAGCTCGTAAAACCCCCGATTACCACCTCCGTCGCGTAGCGATTGAGCTCTGAAATAGAGGTTTGATTATTTGGTAAACATCGCATTGCAAGCTCTTTGTACGCGTAGTATAACCAGCCCCAAAGTTCTATTTTGGATGTTCATGCCCCTACAGCTTGTATTATGTATTGGAAGTGGCACAGTCGAGGAGGCATAGGTTGCTCCGCACCGCTCGAGCCAGTTGTCTTGTGCTAAGCATATATCTGGTGAACGTGAAACGCTTCCAGATGGCAGTAAGAATAGCAAGTCGCAGACCTTTGAAGGCAGTGCTTGCTGAAACTGGCGTGTGGTTGTATGCAATGCAACTATGTACCCGCCTCTCTCTCTCTCCTCCCTCCCTCCCTCCCTCCCTCGCCTCGCGCTCTCTCTCTCTCTCTCTCTTTCTCTCTCTCTCTCTCTCTCTCTCTCTCTCTCTCTCTCTCTCTCTCTCTCTCTCCGTGCACAGCTACCACTTTGCTTCCTGGAATCTGCACTGCTCGATTGCTCGATTCCGCGAAGCAAGCTGAAAGCTTCTCTTGCATCCCTTAGCCTGAACCTCGAGCCAGGAAGATTCAACGGGTTTTGGGTTTAGGGTTCCAAGCTTAATCCCAAACCTCCCGAACCCTAATTCTTAGGATAAGTTCTGCAGCAGAACACCCTCAACCCCAACTGCAAGGATCTTGATTCCGGCAAACCCCACGAAGT